GTTGCTAAATTATAATGCAGCGAATCTGCCTTCCCCATTGATTTTGCTTGTCAGAAGATCGCAAATGGGGATTATATGACTCTGGCACATTGCAGCTGTCATAAATATGAGTCAGTTGTCAAGCATCTGAATGTAAATCATGTGACCATGGGATGCTACAACAGTCATAAGTGTGACTGTTTTCACATGTAAGTCACTTTTTCAGTGCTGTTGTAATTTTGAACGGTCACTAAATGAACTGTTGTAAGTCAAGGACTCTCTGTATTATTCTTTTAGCCTGTGTTTTATGTTTGGTCCTTCTCTTTTACCTGTAAACAAATCACTAGTCTACAACGACATATTACTTATCTAGGGTCTGTAATCTGTACTCTTCAGGCAGAAATTAGGTGTCCAGTTCAGCCCTTCTGCTCTATTAAGCTGCCGCAATATCAACCCCCTCTACCACAAAGATCCTGCAGGAGAAGGGCAGTGTGGACAACTGTGGGATCTGGCAGGGTGAGAGCTGTGAACCATAAACACAAAGTTTTTGCTGTGTCCCTGTATTACAGATACAGTGCCCTTGCTTAATAGGGACACTAAGGAGACAAGTCAAGGTGCTGATGATAACTCAAATAAGCAGGGGATTGTGGTCCAAGAGGAAGAACTAGTTTTGGACAGGGGAAAGTGTGAATCAGGTATTACACATCATGCAAGAACAGCAAGACATCCAAAAAGAGAAGCCACCTTCTGGTACGTGATTCAATTATAAGGGATGTAAATTTAGGAAAGGATACAGAGGTTTCAAAAGAGGTCAGGTGTCTTCCAGGTGCCACTGCCAGTAGGGACAAAAAGCGTATTTGTAAGATAGTCAAGAATGCCAGCAAGAACTGTGATGTGGGTGCTATTCTACATCTTGGCACTAATGATCTGTCTCAAAAAGATGAGACAGGATAGGCTGTAGGCTTACTTTTTCAGAGGTTTTACCAGTATATAAGGAACAAAATGGAAAAGGCCAGGGTATAGTGGCTAAAGGAGTGGTGTAAAGGGGAAGGCTTTGATTATATTAGTCACAATATCTGTATCTGGTCCGATGAAAAAGTGTACAAAAGAGATGGCTTGCATCCATCAAAAAAAGGGACTGAGTTACTTGGCAATAAATTCACAGATTTTTCTGGAGAAATATTGAAACTGAACAACGGGGACAGTGAATTAATTGATACAGAACATTCCTGTCACTGGCAATCTAAAAATTATAGAATTATCAGTGCATGTAATATAGAGATGTGTGTGGACAAGTATATCAACCTAGTTGTCAAGCAAAATCAAACTTTTAATAGTAGGTGCCACACCAAGTGCACTAATCAAAAAGGTGGTAAGAAAATAGGGAAATTCAGGCACCACACAGGTTATGTAGAAAGTAAATACAGGGTTAGTCATAAAGGACTCAAATGTCTATACACCAACGCACAGAGTATGAGCAATAAACCAGTTAAATTCAGGTAAATGAGGGCAGATATGATATTGTTGCCATTACGGAAACTTGGTGGGATGAAACCCACAAATGGAACATACAGCTAGAGGGATTTAAATTATTTAAAAGAAACAGACCAAATAAAAGAGGAGGTAGGATTTTTCTCTATATAAGAAATAACTACATCTCTACAGAAATAGAGCACAACAATGATGAACACTGTCTCGAATGCATTTGGGTCAATATAAAAGGGGGAAAAATGACATTGCCATAGATATATACTATAGGCTGCCCAATCAAACAGAGGAAATAGATGAACTTTTTGCTAGTCAGCTAACTAAGGTATGTAGGAAGCACATCACAATAGTAATGGGGGACTTTAATTACCCTGAGATCAGCTGGGAGACAAACTCTGCATGAAGTAGAAAATCAAATAGATTCCTGACAAAACTAGCAAAAAACTTTGTCTGCCAAAAAGTAGATAAGGGAACTAGGGGATTAGCCATATTGGACCTAATTCTCACTAACAGGGATGAAATGGTAGAAGGTGTTGAAGCCACAGGAACCTTGGGGGGGGGGGGGAGTGACCATGCAATATTGGAATTCAACATTATGCAAGCACAAGCAATAGAACACAGTCAAACTAGAGTCTTGGACTTTAAGAGAACTAATTTCAATAAATTCAGAGAGAGCTTGGGAAGATTCCATGGAAGAGAATCCTCAGGGGGAAAACAACTCAAGAAGCTTTGAAAATTTTTGAAAAATGAGATTATAAAAGTCCATATTAGCACAATACCAACAAAGAAGAAAAATAACAGCTCTCAAAAGAAACCAGCATGGTTGCATAAAGAACTCTGATAAATTGAAAGACAAAAAGGATAAAAAGTATAAAAAGTGGAAAGAGGAGCACATAACTAAGGCAGAATATCAGCAAAGAGTCCGAGCCTGCAAAGATGAAGTGAGGAAAGCTAAGGCTCAAAATGAACTAAGGCTTGCAACAAAAGTAAAAAATAACAAAAAAAGCTTCTTTCACCATGTAAAAAACAAGAAAAAATTTAAGGAAATGATTGGTCCATTAGTGGGAAAATGTGGCAAGAAGGTGACAAGCAACAGGGAGAAAGCAGAACTATTTAACTCGTTTTTTGCATCAGTCTTTACACAAAGGGAAAAAACAGTCCAACCTATCAAAAACAGTACCATAAAAAGCAGATTAGAAACACAAGTAAAGATAGGAAAGAAAATGGTATAAGTGAGCACCTGTCCATGTTAGACGAATTCAAATCACCAGATGGATTAAACCCAAGGTTCTCAAGGAGCTGGCAGATGTGATCTCAGAACCACTGAACTATATCTTTCAAAGATCCTGGAGCACTGGGGAACTACCAGAGGACTGGAAATGAGCTGAAGTAGTTCCCATCTTCAAAAAAGGGGAAAAAATAGATCCAGGCAACTACAGATCTATCAACCTGACTTCAATACCTGGGAAGATTCTGGAAAAGATAATCAAGCAATGAATCAGTGAACACATAGATACAAAGTCATAATCAAAAGCCAATAGGGGTTTGTCAAAAACAGATCATGCCAAATAAATGTTATTGCATTCTTTGACCAGGGACAAAATTAGTGGACCAGAGGAATGCTATGGATATAATTTACTTGGACTTCAGTAAGGCATTTGATAAAGTAGATCACAACCTACTACTTGATAAAATAGAAAAATGTGGGTTAGACAGCATCACCACCAGATGGATTCGTAGCTGGCTGACTGGCCATACTCAGCGTGTGGTCCTCAGTGGAACTGCATCTACATGGAGGGAAGTGTGTAGTGGGGTGCCCCAGGGCTCCGTTCTGGGCCCAGTGCTCTTTAACATCTTCATCAATGATTTGGATGAGGGGATAGGTGGGGAACTCATCACATTTGCAGACAACACCAAGCTGGCAGGAATAGCCAACACTCCAGAAGACAGGCTTAAGATACAGAAGGATCTTGAAACACTTGAACATTGGGCTCTACCTAACAAAATGAAATTCAGTGGTGAAAAAAGTAAGGTTCTACATTTAGGTAAGAAAAACCAAATGCATAGGTATAGTATAGGTAGTACGTTGCTCAATAGTAGTAACTGTAAGAGGGATCTTGGAGTCCTAGTGGACAATCACTTAAATATGAGCCAGCAGTGTGCTGCAGCTGCCAAAAAAGCCAACACAGTGCTAGGCTGCATTAACAGAGGGATAGAATCAAGATCACGTAAAGTATTAATACCACTTTACAATGCCTTGGTAAGGCCACACTTGGAATACTGCATCCAGTTTTGGTCACCACGATGTAAAAAAGATGTTGAGACTTTAGAAAGACTACAGAGAAGAGCAACAAAGATGATTAGGGGACTGGAGGCTAAAACATATAAGGAACGGTTGCTGGAATTGGGTATGTTTACTCTAGTTTAATGAAGAGAAGGATGAGGATGATAGCAGCGTTCCAATATCTCAGGGGTTGCCATAAAGAAGAGGGAATCAAGTTATTCTCCAAAGCACCTGAAGGTAGGACAAGAAGCAATGGATGGAAACTAACCAAGGAGAGAAGTAACCTAGAACTGAGGAGAAACTTCTTACAGTTAGAACAATTAACCGGTGGAGCAACCTGCCTTCAGACGCTGTGATGCTCCAACACTGGAAGTTTTTAAGAAGAGACTAGATAGCCATTTGTCTGAAATGGTATAGGGTTTCCTGTCTGAGCAGAGGATTGGACTGGATGATCTCCAAGGTCCCTTCCAAAATTATTATTATTATTATTATTATTGTTGTTGTTATTGTCATGATGCAGGAAGAAAAGATTTGAGAAATTGCAGAGCCTAGCATTATTAGAAATACTATCTCCTTCTGAAGCAAATTGTTTTGAGTTTCAGTCTGTTTTAGGCCATGATGTTACGAAATGTGGACTGGATGCTGCACAGCAAATATATGTTTCTCTTTTACCAGAAATCTGTGCTTGGTCCCAGTGGGAGCTTTTAGTAAGAGAGGGCACGGGCACCCTCCTCTGTGCAGATATCTAGTAGCAGCTATTAACTGACTCTTGTTCCTGTGCAGCGAGCTGATGGTAACCATTAGTACAAGCCAGATGGTAGTTTCATACTAATGAGACTTTGGGTTGTAGAGAAGTAGAAGCAGCCTCTGCTTACACAAGTATTTTTTCTTTAGAAGCTTTGTCAGCCAGAACAGCAGGAGAGAGATTAATTTCTTGTTTTTGAGATACTAACATCTCCATGATATATAATATATTGCTGAGACGTTCTTTTTTTTTCTTTTTAAATTGACCAATAAAAAGCATAGGTATATTATAGCTTCCTTGGATATTGAGCAATCTTTCAGGTTGCCATGTATAGTATATTTTTCCATAAAATAAATAGTTGCATCATTTCATGGCGAAACTTGAAAATTGAAGTCCAGTTATATTAAGCAGGCTCCATGATTTGATTAGGCTAAGATTTTTCTAAAAACTGCTTTTAAATTGTGATGATTTAACATACAAATAAAGCAACAGGCTTGTAAATAGTCAAGTTCAAATTTGAGTTCCTTTATGGGAAATAGTAGAATCCAATAATTAATAATAATTCATAATCTGCAAATTAAAATAGGCTCTGCTTACTTCTGATTTCCCCCTTGCAAGGAAGATTCTGTATTTAAAATAGGTTTATTTCCCTTCCACCCACAAGCTCAGAGCAATTTCATTCCCATGGAACAGATCAAAGGGAATTAGAATATTAATGACATAGACACAGACATAGCAATGGAGAATGCACATATCCCAAAATATAACAGCAGGCCAAAAATCTTTCTGTATGCTTTATTTAATTTGCTAAGATCCAGTCTTGATCTAGACAGAAACAATTAGGTGACTATTCTTTTATTTTGTTTTGTCTGTTCCCGTAGTAGTTACTGAGATGAAGAAAGGAACACAATCCTTCCCTTTGTAACATTTTTTTTTAAAAAAAGAAGCTATAAATAAATAAATATATAAAGCTTTAGAAGTTATTTGATTCAGTTTAAACATTGCTTTCAGTTTCTGCAGCAAACATGCAGATCTTAGAGATTCGGTCTGAAGGTAGATGCTCTCAGTGTTAATAAGAAGGACCTGTTTGAGAGCTCAATGGGGGAGAAAAATGGAGCTTAGAAAGATACCAGTTTATTGGATAAAATCACCCAAAGAAAGGAGAGGGAATAGATCCTTGGGAATGGTTTGTTCATCTGCTTCATAATGTAACCTAGACATCTTAGTGAAATTAAAATCAGTTTGCATAAAGCAAGTAACATTTACATGATATCTCACTCAGTTGCAGAAGTGCTGATATAAGCACTAGCATTGACCAAAATTTGCTGAGGCATGGACACAGATATTGAAACCTAAAATGATTTTGCAAAACGCAATTGAAAATCAGTTCAAACCAGCAACACAAATAAATTAAAACATATACCAACATGTACAAAACAAGTCATCATTTGAAAATAAGTTCAACAATTATTTTTGAGTTCAGCATGTAGGAGGGAGCACCTGAGAAAAAGGCAGAGCAGAAAAAGCAGAAACTATAGGATAGAATGGGGTAGGGAATCACATGGTGGGGCTCTTCCCCATGATGCGCTTCAGGATTTATTAGGAATCAAAGATATTAACATAAAACCTTGACGAGAGGAAAACCTCAATTGATCAGTATATGAATGCATGCAGCCACTCTTGGAGACAATCATTTGGTTGGCCAACTCCTCTTTGCTTTAATGTCAAATACATATAAAATCTTAAAACCTGTCCCTATGATTAATGAATGTGAGCAGTAACAAAAAGAACAATGGTTCTAATGGTATCATGGCAGACATTGCAGCTTCTGTTACCTTCCAGGTAGTTATAAAGACCTGCATGGCTAGACGGATGTGAAGACAGTAGAGGACTGTAGTATTCAAGTTATCAATGTATGTTTGTCAAAACTATCCTTAATTTGTGACTCATCTATAAATGTAAAATTATTCACTTCTAATTTAGATAATTTAGAACTAAAATGGACATTCAAACTTATCCTTTCCATTCAAAGCTAGACTAACACAATATATTGCTAGTCATGCCTATGGTTTTTCAGGTGAAGGATCAGAGTGGATTGGTGAAATCTGTATAAACATGAATTGCATGTGTCAAACATGAACTGGAAATGAGCCTACATTCAGAAAGAAGCTTTGCAGAGGCCTCCTGAGGCCTTCTGCCCGCCCCCTTGTCTCTCATCTTAAAAATCTTGTATTTCTAACTGAAAAAAAAAAACAATGTAAATTCAGCCTCATGTAATAGCACGGATGTTTGGCAGTCCTTTGCATTCAGCGTTCAAAGCAACTTTCTTTGCTCTTGCACAATTGGAAGCCTAATGGGGTTTCATCATAAGAAATTGCTATTGCATTTAAAGAAAAGTCAAATAATATTGCATTCAGAAAATGAATTTGTCTCCAGAGAACATGATGGTGTGTGTGTGTGTGTGTGTGTGTATACACTAGATGGAAAATGTAGGAATTTATCAGGTTGACAGTCTTCTCCAGCTCTTAAGCAAAAAATTTTAAAATTACTATTTGGTATTTTTTTATTATTAAAGTACAAACACTTGGGGATAAACTTGGCATTGGCATATACTCTACCACTGAACCATGGCTTCCCTTGCCTAGCCATACTGATCCTGGTTAATGTTGGTATTTCTCTTCCATATAGTCTCTTAGTTAGGGCACAAGTATGCAATGTATATTTGCTCTGCCATGCCTTTGCAATTCCACAGCCCCATTCAAATATTGTAACAAAACAAAATCTTTTTAAAAAAGATGCAATATCTTTTTGCATAATTTTTTTAAAGCCATTATATTCATACTTTATTCTTGTCAGCCATCCTGAACCCCATTCTATGGATGCATTTATACTGCAGCTACAGAATTTCTAGCCAGCAAACGAAAAGGAGTTTTAGCCAAAACATATTCAAGGTATACCAAGTGGGGGTTCAGTTGGCCGAAGCCCTTCTTCCCCCACTAGTGCTGTAATTTCCAAGAAAATTCTCTGTAGATTTAAAAAAAAAAATGGTTACAAGATTGGACATCTTGTAACATCCGAACTCTTAGAATGTAGCATTTCAGCGTGTTTAATAAGACAGTGAGAGAAATGTTGCACAAGTAAAATATGGAAATATTTTTCCATGCCACTAATGGACGACAACCACTAGGTTTTCCTTTTGTTAAATTTTCCTAATACTTGTTCTGCAAAATCTTATGTCAATCCAGCCAAATAAAAACCTTCCAACTTGATCAGGCCAGAGATCCATCTGGTCAAGCATCCTAATAATCAGCTAGCTCACTGTTTCTCAATCTCAACAACCTTAAGATGTATAAACTTCAGCTCCCAGAATTCCTCCATCAGCACTGAGGTAGATAATTCTAGAAAAGTCAACTCCTATTGTTACCCAGCAACTGGTATATATAGAAGTATATACTTCTGAAATTGCTTGTTTTCATTGTCATGGCTAGGAGCTGATTTCCTATAAGAACACAAGACTGAGTGGTTAATTCATCTTTTGTAATTACTCTTCTGTATTACAAAATTTCACTCGGGAAAGCTGCCATCAGCCTAATGTACTCCTAGTGTACTCCAAGTTGGAAAGCTTTGTTAATTATATATGTTTCTGGAAAGGATCTTCCAATCATAACAAACTGACAAGAAATCTAATACATTGTGTTATATGAAAAATACTTAGCTGGCTTATGGTCTCAGAACTATTCCATATATCCCCAATTAGCTCTCATTTCAGAAGGCTTCTGCAGAAAATAATTGTTCAAGTAATTTCAATGAAGATTGAGCTAACATGCTGGCTGGTACTGCAAAATTCTCTTTTGCTAAAAGTCCAGAGCCAATGTCCTAGAATACTTTGGAGTGCTGGGGAAAGCATGTGTTCTGTTGGGAATGTTTATGACATTTGTTCCGTAGTGATTGCTCTGACTAAGTAAGCATGCTAATTTTAAATAGCTATAGGAGATGTTTTCTAGACTCCCCCAGCACCAGCGCTGCTGACATTATAAACTGCTCCTGGTAGAGTCAAAGAAAGATGATATGGAGGTTGAAAAGACACAACAGGAGGTACCAAAAAGTGTCCTGCTATATTGTAGATAAAGAATTTTAAATTAAGCATGTTTTTCCTTTACAGTATCATTGATCTGCTCTTGAACTATCTGATCACACGCTAAGTAATACACAATATAAAATTTCTTTCCATGATATTAATGAATTCTTCTAAACAGTCATATTTGGTGTCAAAGTCCCATCCACCTTTTTCTTTTTTTTTTTGTCCTTATAATAGTCCTTATAATTTAAATATCTCGGACTGATTTCCTTTATTTTTTATACTCAGTCATAGCTTCTTTGCCTTTGTAGTTTCAGTTCTATTTGTCCAATTTCAATGCTTTAGTCCAAATGATTTTGAATCATTTAAATGTCTTTGTAACAGTATAATACCTTAGCAAAATTTGGGAAGACACTTGAACTATTGTGACAGGCCATGAAATTGGTATTTCCCTCTGCTGCAAGAAACTGTTTATATTGTGATCTAAGCACAAAATGACCACACACTCACTTACTTTGGCGCTGAAGCTGACAATAATATCCAGTAATTTTTATTTTCTTAGTTTTTACTTATAAAAACATCAAACAAAAACATTGGAGAAAGCCTATTATCACAGGCTGATCCATTAGGGTTTTTTATCCAGGTTGTTGTGGAAATTGAATTTAAACACACAAAAAACTAGTTTCCTTTTATCTTTATCCACACTATGAAGAAGCCCTAGAAATGTGCTATTTGTTGTACAAAGCCTAATATAACAGGCTCTCTGCTGTTCACATTATGCATATTGATTAATTGCTGCAGTGCATTTTTGTAAGACCATAGTGAACACAGTACAAACATGCTGAGCAAACCTCCCTATTCTGCATGTCAAAAACTGCAGATGGTTTTGCCGGCAGATAATTTTAAAAGGTTTTTTTATTTGTTACAAAAATCCAGAGCTTTCCAGAGAATTAGCAGACTGTTGTTAATTCCTAAATTTAAGATTTAGGGATATAAAGTCCTCCCACCCCACCCCAATTATAATCAAATGCTTAGTTTTGATGAGCTGTGAATACGAAGGGCTTTTTCAAATACAGCAGAAAGCCTTTGCATAGACTGAGCTGCCAAATATTTGTACTTAAGAACTAGCGTATCTTTCAGGATGTAGATCATTACAGGTCCCTTGGTATTTGTCTTAAACACTGAAATAGATGGATAAGGTTATGTTTAAATCAAGTTTTCCTTCTGTTATCACTCTAAGTAATTCTCACTGTCCTTTGGATGAAACATAGAAGCAGCAAGCTAAGCATATATAACGGGTTGCGTAATTAGGTAACAGTATTTCCTTAGGAAGAAGACCAACTCTTAGGCCATGAAGAATGAGAACTTCCCCACTGAGAACTGTGGGAAAGAATACAGCTAGTTCTTGACTCATGACCACAATTGGCAAGAGAATTTCTGTTGCTACGCAAGGTGGTTGTTAAGTGAGTCACACCCAATTTTACTTCTTGCTATGTTTGTCAAGCGAATCATTGCATTATTAAGTGAATCGCATTGCATTATTAAAGAATTATTCATTCTTTAAATGAATCTAATTTCCCACATTGATTTTGCTTGTTGGAAGGCATCTTGGAAAGTTGCAAATGTTGGTCACATGATTCTGGAACACTGCAACTTTCATAAATACATGCCAGTTGCCAAGTGCCTGAATTTTGATCACATGACCAAGGAGAATGCTGCAAAGGTTACAAATGCAGGGACTAGTTTTAAGTCACTGTTTTGGTGCCATTGTAACTTTGAATGGTTGCAAAATGAATAGCTCTAAGTTGAGTACTACTATATTGAGATACAGAACCATAAGGAAGTTCCATACTTTCTTGTGCTGAAAACCACATGGAACAAATATACTAGCTTCTCTCTATGATGCAGAGTGAGCCTGATCTTTGAGAATCAGCTGACAACCTTCATATTCAAGTACTATCAACAATTTAACTATTTGTATCCAAGAGAACAGAAACAATAAGTCATAATGACAAACACAATTTGGTTTCCTTCAGTCTCTCATTTTATAAAACTGTTTAAAAACTTATAAAAGCATTTAGAAAATAAAGAAACATAGGTTTTTTTAGAGACAGTAAACCATAATTGGATGCTTTCAAAAAGAAAAAAATGATATGGTATTGTGAAAAATTTTGTTTAATAAGTACAAGACTTATAAACTCAGAGTTTGAAGTGAGAACAACTGAGCACTTCCAACTTTACCAGTGTTCCTATTTGCTCAAAAATAAGAAAGCAAGTCAGACAGGTAAACTCTCCTTCAAGTAAGCGAATGATTTCATGGACACATCCATGCAAGATTAGTTTTTGGTAATGGTATGGAAGTGCCACCACTGTGGGATTTTTTTTTTCTCAATTTTTTCATCTGGTCTAAAGCCTTAGTATCTTATAATATTGTCGTACTCATAAGTCTGCTTAGGTTTACAGCCCAGACATGATCAGCCAAGTCCTGCCATGTGCTGATGCAATGCAGTGTCTTAAATTCAACATCAGCACTCCAATAAATACTGGATATTATCCAGTGAAAATGAGTTGCATCTAAATCTTCCTGACATCAATCAGTGGAGCTGAATTACTTCATTAAATTTTAAGTTAGCCTCATTTGACCTAGGACTTAAAATGATCTAATTTTTATAGTATAGCAGTCACTATTCAGCAATGGACAATATCTAATGCCAAATAACAAACAATCACTTTGAATAATAACTGTGTCTTATTAAATCAACATCCAACCAAAGGGAAGGAATATTTTCCATCATGAGCAGAACAACCAAACGATAATTTAGACTTTGCATAGGATATGTTGGCCTCAGTTGATCATATTCTTTTAAATTTATTGGAGTGATACATAACCAGTCTTTCTCTAGGAAAAGATTTGTTTATCATTTTGTGATGAGATCATTTACAGTTAGTTTTACAAGGGATTTAATTCTTTCTTTAACAAAGGCTGAGAAAATGTACACAGATTCACCAGTTGTTTTGATAATGTAGTGTGAATGTATGCATGCAAAACACCAGTGCCATGTAATCCAAACTTCAGTCCCCAATTCGTAGTCCAGGCTTTAATCTGTTTTCTGGATGTTTCTGTTCTCTATTTTTAAAAATTCCTTTTAGTTTGGTTATATTATGCCTTTGTTTTAGCCATGATTTCAATCTGAAGTCAAGCAGCTGAATCTGGGACCAAGTCATTGTGTGGCAGGTTCACTGCCATTATTATGACGTTCATCACTGAACATTTCACATAGAAAATGTGAATCGATTCTTTGAAGCTCACTTGCTATTGACGATGGAGAAGAGTGGTAAAAACTGCTTTCTATGTCTAGATCTGCATCTAGATGAAATATGAGGTGATATTTGGCCTCAGTTCTAAGGGACTACACTTGTGCATTTGAAACTCTGAGCTCACTAAGACTCTTTTTTATTATTTTTATTTTGTTTTATTAAGAACCCCATTGGTCTTGTAAGAAACAGTAAAAAGACCCTTTGTTTAAAGAAGCATTCTACTTTCTGTTTTACAGACTGTTTTAAATAAGTTTTTTTTAAATTCCATGTTCTTTTGTAATGGAAACACTAGTATCTTGTTTTTTGTATAAAATTCTTTCAATGCTACCACTTCTCTATAATATGGCTCATGTAGTCCTCGGTAGGCAACCGTCCTTGTTCTTCGGTCTCTTCCCTGGGAAGCGCTTCATTCGATCGGTGAAGAAGTCTTTCTTCCCGATTCTTTATTCTCTGCTCCATCCTCTCCAACTGCCTCTTGTACTGATAGCGCTGTTGAAAGAGGTCTTTTGCATAGTCGTACAGCTGCATGTCCAAGTCATTAAGTTCTTCAATCCTCCGTATGGTCTTGGTGTCTACCTCCACTCCACCTGCTCTTGTGCTATTATACTGCATGAATGGCCTGATAAATTTTAGATTGAAAGTTCTCTCAAACAAATACTGGGTTTTTCTCTGAAATTCTGTCAAGCCAAAAAAGGCCATGTCTCTGAGATTTTTCTTGGCACTTTCCAGCAGTATCTGAGCTCGCTTGTTTTCTGGTATGAAGGACATATTATAGCAGCCTACCAAGCTCAGATCAGCCAACATCCTCACTTGACGATTGTTAGCTAAGTTATATGGGCAATCCATGAACTCCTGAAGAGTGCAGCCTGACCAGTCTGTGCCTTCATAGCATGATGGCAGCTCTTCAGGGGTTGGTGTCCGGCCATCACACATATGCAAGGATGTTTTCCAGGTAGCTCCTCGTTGGACATGCCTCCATTCACTGAGATAACGGGACACAGGATCCCTTAGCAGAGTGATGTAATAAAACTTCCTGTAAGAGAGAAAAAATGCATGTAAGAATTATAGATTGTACGTATAATTATTTTTACTTTATTATTTATTTATTAGATTTATTGGCCATCCATCTTACCACAGGGTAGCATCCAGTGACAGTTAATAATATTATTTGTTTCTTATTAATTTTTAAGGTTTACATTATTTGAATCATACAGATTTCTTTTCCACTAGGCTCCACATTACTAGTTTCAAGCAGTGCCAATACAATTCAGTATAAATCAATGATTTGTGGTCATTCAACAGGTTCTTTTGGCATTAAGGATCAACTGACATTTCATATTATTATACACATTAAATGGGGAATGGGACAATTTGCCGCAGCCAACTTGCTGCGGCCAACTCACCACAGCCAACTTACTGAGACAACCCGCCGTGGGACAATTTAATAATTCAATTTAATAATTTTAAATAAATAAAAATAAATATTTTAGTTTTTATCATTCACATTTTATTCTGTCCCTCCTTTTGTATCCTTTTTTAAAATTATTCCATGCCACCCTTTCTTTGATATTAGTGTAACCTTTCTCCCGCATTAAGTTGGCTATGGCAACTTGTTCTGCAGCGAATTGGCTGCGGCAAGTTGGCTGTGATGGGTTGGCTGTGGTGAGTTGACTGTGGTGAACTGGCTGTGGCAAATTATTATAAATCCCATTAAGTGTATATGGCAATAACGAAAACAGGAAATAGAAAGCTACAGAGGAAAAAACCTACAATACTTCTCATCAAAAATCACTTGTCCTGAAAGGAACACAGGATAAACAACAGTGGGCTTTTGCCCAATAAATGACAGAATTATCATGATCAAATCCTTCAGTATAATAAAACTACAGATTTATGTACCTTAAGAGTCCACTCAGACTGAGAATTAGAAGAATTTTATGACACAATAGAAGAATGAATATCCCAGTGGTTATGGGAGATCTGAATGCAAGTATAACAAACCCCAAGGTAATAATAATCTTTTATTGGGGACAATAAAAATTGTCAGTGTTGTTCCTCAAGCAAGACCAAAACTTGAACACTTAATCAGTGCAAATGGGAAAACTGATGAAATATCAACACAACTTGCCAGGAAAACATTTAAAGATCTGAATAATGTTGTTACCTCAAGGGGAACAGATTTAAATTACGAATGACCATATGTATTTTTAGTCAATTCTCTTTCATGACATGAAATGAGGAAGGATGAGAACAGACTGAAAGTGTTTGAAATGTGGCTTTTAGGGAGAATGTTGAGAATTTTTTTTAATCTTAAAAGATAAAAATCTTGAAATCCTAGAAGCCATCAAACAAAGAAAAATGTGATATTTGGTACATTTATTTAGCTACAATTATATACAAAGGACCCTTCAAGAAGAAACAGTGGAAGGAAAAAAAGACAGTGACAGTAAGAGACACTTGAGGTAGCAATACACATTGCTACTCTGAACTGGAACTCGGGATTGAAAATCTCCTGGAAGGAGAAGATACTTGAACTGAACACATTAAATTATGCACTACTGCCCAATAAACATAGCTTAGATAACTTGTGATTCACATAGACAGAGCTCAAGTAACTTCCAAAACTGTAGATAGATGAACTCTAACCTAATTTTTAATCTATTAAAATTCTTCCAATTTTTCTGTTCGCATTGTAATCTTAATAGATTAATTAATAGCATGCACAATATTGAAAATGCATGATATTAAAGATAAGCTACCTAAATTACAGTATTCTGTTCTATTTTATCAAAGCTAACTTTGATAAAGAAATAATATATTTTCTAAAATGCATATGTTCCGAATTATTAATTAATTAACTAAACAGTATTGGTGTTGACAAGAAAGCTACAGAAATAATATAAATATGATAAATCAATAAAATGTTTTAAAAATCTGTCTATATATATATATTGCCTTCAAATCAGTGTTGACTGCAAGTCCCTGCAGTTTTCTTGGCAAGGTTTTTCAAAGGTAATTTGCCTTTGCCTTTTTCCTATGGCTGAGAGTGAATGATTGGCTCAAGGTCACCCACTGGCTTCTTGTCTAAGGCCGGTTTAGCATTCACTGATTTGCTGGTGTTTAGCCTGGTGCCTTAGCCATTACACCAAACTGTCTCTCCATGAAATTAACAGGACTCATGATAAACCCTTTCCACACCATCAAACATACCAAGATATACAGCCCATAATTTAATCAATTAGGCCCAAAGCAAGGTGGAATTAAAAAATACCAACTAATTAAAGAAAGCAAAGAGAGTGGGTACTATATGTATCCCCAAAGGACGTATGTTCCAGAAAATGGGAATCCCTACAGAGGGGACCTTCCATCTAACTGAAGTTCCATGGAATTCAAATTGCAGGTTCCCTCAAGATATTTGACTTGGATGGGTAGAATCAATTTGGCAAGGTGAGTGAAGCCTGGTATTTGGGTGAAGTGTTTCGCCTTACAGCTTTTTAATCACATCCTCTTTGAATTGCTGCTGCAGTGAACTCAAAGTCTGTGTTATCCTGTAATGCCAGGATTGCTGTTGCATTTTGAGCTAATGTCCTGAATCCAATGTTTTATGTCTGGTATCACTGTATATCATTGTATTATTTGTCTTGTATCATTGACTGAAATTTTCCAACTTTCTTTGCTCCGGCCCTGCTCTAATAGGTTTCTTTTCTGTGGGATTCAATCATGGTGATGCAACTTTAAATGTTTATGTTCAGGAGCTCATAATGAGAGCTCTTACAGCTGCTTACCCAAGAGTATTCCATATTCATGCTCCAGTGGAGACACTATAAATGCACACATATACTTGCTTTCTTATTTATATTTAAGGAGAATAACAACCAGGATTTTGTTTAAAAAAAATCCTACCTTTATAAACCTCTACACAAGAAAATCAAACAAACCACTACTGCCTATATAAGGCACAATTACTACTCTATGCATAATTACTTTGAAGAAAACAAAATAAAATAGGGGGAACCAGTTCACCCTAACTTCCCTCCACTCCATGGCTTTTCTATTCACTGAAATCTTATTGGTTTAAAGACTTTCTGTGTATATATATAAATAAATAAATATATTTATTTATTTAGACAGAAATATTATTTCTGTATAATATTACTAATACTATTTGTGTATAGAAATTGACAAATACCAATGCTGTTATGCAAATTATAACATATCAGCGCTAGATCTACACAGGTTTGGAAAGTAAACATTTTGTTCTGAGGCATGTATATCAAACTTTTAGGATTTCTGAAAAGTTTTATTAACTTGTATTCTTTCCTTGAATTTTTAAGATACATTTTTAAGATAAGTAAATGGCACTGAGGTAGGAGGGGAAAATTAGAGAGAATCTGCCAAATCGAAAGGTTAAAAAAAAAGTATCATTTTGTTGTTTTCTCCCTACTTTTCTAGATAGTGTTTTTTCCTTCAATTTGTCTATTTTTTTTTTTTTGCAATGATCAGGAATTAAAGTTAACAGGATGTTATAGATATGCTGATCATATTTTTTCTTCCTCTTGCTTTTTTATAATTGTGATTCTTAAGCTTAAATTTAATACTATTTTATGAATACTGTACATACAGTGCATAATTTCCTTCTGCTAGTGATGATAATGACATTTTTAAACTTCAGCAAAAATTAATAATATATAAAACTGTCAGGTTGTATTGTGTTATCATAAACCTTTCATTACGGAGATTTCATAGTCCACTTTGTCTTATGAGATCAAATTATGTTTACATCCTGCATAGCCAGTTTTAAAAACTTACATGATTTAATTAAATTTTCAATCCTGATTATTCTGTAAAACATCAATTTTGTTTCAAAGGGCATCAACTTCCATTGGATAGTAAGTTGAATTAGAAATAATTCTCACATTGTCACTTCATATTATTTTACCCAAGAGCTGGAATGCATCTACCACTGAAGTCCCTGATAAAATTTTCAAATCATTTCATGGGGCTGGGATAAAGTTCAATGAACATGTTCAGGAATATCTGCATGGTATGGTAAAGAAAGTTAAAATGGAGGTCATTATGGTGTAGTTAAACATTTTTGTTTTTTGTTTTATATGTGTCAGATGTGATCACACACAGCTTTAATACACCATCTTGGCCACCATCTTGCATTTTGACCTTCCCCTTGTGCATGCCTGCTTCCTTCCAGCTTTGTAAGCTATACAGAGAGGAATGCGTGCTGTCATCAATCCAAAGATGTCACCCTATCTAAAAGGACACATTTACACAAAAAAGTGGTGACAAATCAAGCTTCAGTGTATTTTTCTTTTTTTAGCCTCTTATTATTTTGCTTTATTGTATGCCACCCAGAATCATTTTGAGTGAGATGGGCAGTCATATAAATTTGACAAATAAATATATGAAATAAAAAATAACAATGATTCATTTTCCCCAAGCAGGATGTTGCTATGATTTAAAGTATCATTGCTATGAAACACCAAACAGGCAGGGACGAAAACATCAGTGGAAGACATAAAAGTAATGACTGATGTGAAATGTTTCATTGAGAAAGAGAGACCGACTTTGATTCTGATCACTGTATCATTAAAAGTTCTAACAAGTGGGTAGGTTTTTTTTTTTCAAATCAGAGGAATTCTCAAACTCAAACTTGTTTTTCAATCTCTCTTCTATGTTCTATGCTACACTAGATCTAGACTTTTTAATCCTGAAGTGTGCCAAGTCTGGAACACCCAATAACAATCCAGAATCCAAATTCTCTGCCATTGTTACTGACATTTATGATACAAATATTGAAATTGTATATATTAGAATTTAATTTAATTACTTTGTTTTCTATGTTGTATTAAGTCTTGTTTCTTAAATCCATCATCAGTTCATTTCTAACCAGAGGATTCAATCAGATCTGATTGGTAAGGATTCTGCGCCATGTCTGAATTAGATGGACCTAATCTCTGCCTACCAGGTTTTTTTGTACAGATACTTGGTGTATCTAAACTTAAATATTTAGCACGCTGT